GTGGTTATAAGTGAATTTGTTTGGGGACCCCTGGGTGGTTCAGCCAGTTGAGCATCTGACTATCAGTTTCAGCTCAGGTCACTATCTCATGGTGGGATGGAGCCCCGCATCGGGCTCAATGCTCAGCAAGGAGCCTACTGAAACATTCTCTCTCCCTTTGCCCCTCCCTCTTGCTCACTTGCTTTCCCTATCTTTCTAAAATAAATCTTTTAGGGCATCCCAGGTGGCTCAGCGGTTTAGTGCTGCCTTCGGTCCAGGGCATGCTTCTGGGAACCCAGGATTGAGTCCCACATCGGGCTCCCTCCATGGAGCCTGCTTCTCCCTCTGCCTGTGTCTCTGCCTCCCCCCCCGTGTCTCTCATAAATAAATAAACAAACAAACAAATAATCTTTAAAAATAATAAAAATAAATCTTTTAAAAAATAAGTGAATTTGTTTTATTATTTAATTATTTCTCAGCTTTATAGGATGAGCACATATTACTTTTAAATTTGAGGAGAAAAACATAAAATTATCAAAGGAGACTGGAAGAAATCACCAAAATGGTTGGGAAAGGGGGAGGAGTAAGCAGGGTCATGGTGAGGGTATCTTCCATGTTTTGTTTTATATGTTATATACTACATGAATCTTTATTTTTTAGATTTAGAGGGAGAGAGAGCAGATGAGGGGGAGAGAGATAAGCCCAAGCAGGCTCCTCACAGAGCTTGGAGCCCAACAGGGGGCTCGATCCCCCAACTCTGAGACCCTGACCTGAGCCAAAATCGAGAGTCGAGAGTCAGACACTTAACTGATTGAGCCACCCAGGCACCCCTCACAAATATTTCAATGTATATATGTTAAAGCCATATGAGAAAGTGGAAAAAAAAGGTTTTTGTGAGAAAAATTTGAGCACTATCTTATTTACCGTGATACCCCCAGTGCCTAGACAAAGTGTCAATCACATAGTAGGCATTCAGGAGCTTCTGAGTGAACAGTGTAATTCCATACATTAAAAACAATGACAGAGAGATCTGGAAGGGTATTATCTTTGTAACCAGGGAAGACAGTTCAGTAGTACCTTCTCTGAGAATGTGGCTGTGGGGTCCTTAGTGGGTAGTGCGAAGGTTTATTTTGCCAGTCCCAGGGCCAGGGCCAGGCATTGAAGCAGGATCCCGCTTGGTGGGACCTGTGCCTGAGAAATAGGCAGCCTTGTGAGTGTGTCTGTATGCAGATAACCATGACAGTGTTATCTGTGACTGGAAAAAATTACAAACAGCTATTTATCCATAATTAAAAGGGATTAAATACTTAATGGATATATCCATTCCATTCTCTTCAATACTGTATCTACATAGACTGACAGGGGAGGTCCATGATACATTGCTAAGTGAAAAAAGTAAGTTCAGACTATCAATGGCAACATGGCAATAACTCCAGTGGATTTGAAGGAATTATGCAGAGCAAAACAAGTCAACATAATTCCATTTATATAACACTCTTGAAATAACAAACTTATAGATGTGAAGAAGAGATGAGTGGCTGTCAGGGGTTGGGAAGTGGAGAATGGAGTTATATAGGGAGAGTATTAGAAAGCCCCGTGGTGATGGCTCAGTTCTGTACCTTGATTGTGGTGGTTACACAATTCCACACTTGACAAAGTTGCAAAGGAAACTAGACTGGCAAGTGAATGCATGTAAACCTGTGAAATTTGAGTGAGCTCTAGGTGGTCCCAGTGTCACTCCCCTGATTAGCTACTGTACTGTAGTCAGGTAAGATCCTACCATGGGGGGAAATGGTGAAAGATACACTGGGCCCCTTAGTCCTTTTTTTTTTTTTTCAACTTTCTGTGAATCTGTAATTCCAAACAATAAGTCGGGGGAAAATTGGGAAAAGCAAATTACAGAACAAAGTGTATAGTATGATTACTTTTGAAAAATATGTTATGGGTGGCTCAGTCAGTTAAGCGTCGAACTCTTGATTTTTGACTCAGGTCATGGTCTCAGGGTCATGGGATCAAGCCCTGTGTCAGATTTCACACTCAGCCAGGAGTCTGCTTGAGATTCTCCTCTCCCTCTTCCTCTCCCTCTGCTTTTCTCCACAGCTTGTGCTCTCTCAAGAATAAAAGTATGTTATACACACACATGTACATGTGTTTGTATGTAAATGTTATATGCATAGGAAAAGATCTAAAGGGTATACAGCAAATTGTTCCTATTACTTAACCCTGGGGATGAAGAGGGCAAGTGGGATGGGCTGACACGAGAGGGAAGACTTTCACTGCTTCCTCCTCACGTTTGTACACCATTGAGACTCTTTTCTCCATGGGCCTTAATATTATACTTTTATATTATTTTAGTAGGCAATATGAAATTTTGTCAGTAGTGCTTTTTATTTTTTTTTAATTTTTTTTTATTTATTTATGATAGTCACAAAGAGAGAAAGAGAGAGAGGCAGAGACATAGGCAGAGGGAGAAGCAGGCTCCATGCACGGGGAGCCCGATGTGGGATTCGATCCAGGGTCTCCAGGATCGCGCTCTGGGCCAAAGGCAGGCGCCAAACCGCTGCGCCACCCAGGGATCCCTCAGTAGTGCTTTTCAAACAGCAGGAGTAGAGGTTGTAAGAATGGCCTCCCTTTTTAAAGATTCATTTATTCATTAGAGACACAGAGGCAGAGACATAGACAAAGGGAGAAGCAGGCTCCTTGCGGGGATCCTAATGGAGGACTTGATCCCAGGACCCCGGGATCATGACCTAAGCCAAAGGCAGATGCTCAACCACTGAGCCACCCAAGCATCCCCACATCCCCCATTTAAATAATGAAATCTAAACATCATAGGAATCAGCTCAGGAAAATTCATGTGGAGTTGAAATAAGTTACAAAGTAACATCTGCTTCTTAGAAATTTCAACAAACATTAGTTGTCAATGTAAACAAAGAGCACAACCAACAAGAACATAATTGACTGTGGAGGTAAAGCTGCCTGGCTAGAGTCAGACTCGTGTGTCCAAGGCTGTCAGGATTTGCACCAACAACACAAAGGATGCTCTTGATTTTAGTTAGGGACAATTTATTGAACAGGTATAAGGAGAATTTTGGATTGTGGCTAGAAATAATGTGGGGCACATGCTGGTTCAGTGGTTGAGCACCTACCTTTGGTTCAGGTCCTGATCCTGGTGTCCTGGGATTGAGTCCTGCATCGGGCTCCCCACAGGGAGCCTGCTTCTCTCTGCCTATGTCTTTGCCCCTCTCGCTCTCTATGTCTCATGAATGGATTTAAAAAAAATTTTTAAGAAATAAAGTTAATGTGAAACAATAATATATATGGTCTTTATTGTGCTGCTTCTATAGATCACTCACATGGGCAAATTATTCATGTTCAAGTTAAGGCATAAGGAAGGAAGAAAAATGGATGGAATAGAAAGTCTTCCATTTTAACCACACCCTTTTTAAAGAAAAGCAAAAAGGACAAAAAGTAAGAAAAACAATATGAGGAATCAATGCTTTGAAGTTTCTGGCTTCTGGTATGAGAAAATGTGAGTTTCCCTAATAGAAATGGCTAATGAGAAAATAGACACTTTGAGGTAGAACAGAGTTTAGTTTTGAACATCTTAACTTTGAGATCACAACTAGATAAAGGTGTCACCTAATGGGATGTTTCAATCTGGAGCTTATAAGCGATATTACAAATTTTGGGCTTCAGATCTATAGGCTAAAAATGATCACCAGTAATGGCAAATGTGTAACTAAGTATGTAAAATTGTATTTTATTATCTTAATTTCTCCAAAAGCTATGCTTCTTTAAAACAAAAATTATAATGCTATATTGTGAGATTTGTGACATTAAAAGCACAAAAAATGGGTTGGTAAATGGAACTATACAGTTGTAATGAAAGTAATATAATCTTAGCTCTAAGTAGACTAATAAAGATGTATTTCATAATTCCTGAAGAAAGCACTAGAAAATCCTGCAGAGCAGCGTAGCCTAAAAGTGAACAGAGGAGCCAAAATGGGATAAGAAATGTTGACCCAAAAGAAGTCAAGAAAGGAACTGAGACACAAAACCTAAGTAAGAGTAACAGAAAACAAATAGCAAAATAGCACACTGTAATCATAACTGAAATGTAAATAATATACTTAAATACTACAATTCAGAGATAGTAATTGTCAAATTGGATTTTTTATTAAAAAAGAAAGACCCTAGGAGTATCTAGGCGGCTCGGTCAGTTAGGTGTCTGACTCTTGATTTCACCTCAGGTCATGATCTCATGCCTTTCATGGGGGTCTGTGCTGGGCGTGGAGCCTGCTTAAGATTCTCTCTATCCCTCTCCTCTTCCCTCCACACTTGTGCACATGCTCTCTTTTCTTCTCTCTCTAAAAAAGAAGCAAGACCCTATTATATGATTACATGCTGCCTCTAAGAAATATATATTTTTTAAAGATTTATGTATCTATTCATGAGACACACAGAGAAAGAGAGGCAGAGGGAGAAGCAGACCCCATGCAGGGAGCCCGATGTGGGACTCGATCCCAGATCCCGGGATCATGCCCTGAGCCGAAGGCAGACGCCCAACCGCCAAGCCACCCAAAAATACATATATATATATATATTTTTAAATACAAAAATAAAAAACCAGGGTTTTTTTTTTCTCCAAATTCCTGGTTTAATAAGGACTTGTTTATTTGAGAAAAAAGGGTCCCAAACATCAGGCTGTTCACAAAAATAACCCACAGTATCAACTTTAGAAAACAAATCTTAAGACTATTACACTAATTATTTTTCTAGAGGATGCATTTGACATGCCAACTCTCGTTCACAAAAATACATTGTTACATTTGTGTTGAACAGCCCCACATAGCATTCTTATGTATAACACACATACCTCTAACTCAAAGCTGCTCTCAGGTGCTACTCAACTAATGGATTGCCTTTGCAGTTAGGCAAGCAACTACCGAGCTCATGTATGAATGGAAAGAACTGTACTCCCTGCATAACAAGAGATTGATTATTTTGGAGACAGTTGGTAAAAACCACACATCCTTTTTATTGTTAAGTCATAAAGAGGTATCAAAATTAAAAGCAAAAATTACAGGGTAAGACTTAACATAACTACTAGGAGCGTCAAAGGAAGTGAAAATGGGACTAGGCGCAGGGCAATATGAATTAATGAACATGCGAAGGATAAGGATGGGGAGAACAGTGAGCATGTGCTGAAGAAGATACTAGGGGAGAGGATCTGGTGAAAATTTTGATCTTAGACAAGCGCCTAGGTAAAGAAATAATGGGACAAGATTTCTAAACCCCACTATGTGCTTAAAAGTCATCCTCGCCATTGGCGCTGTCTCTGTCATCCTCTCCTTCCTCAGCCTCTTTTTCATCATCCTTGATCAACTCCAGCTGGTCATCCCCCCGATCTTCATTATCATCATCATCCAGTAGGTCCCCCTCCTCAGCAGAGTCATCTGCACCCCCCTCAGACTGCATCTTCACATTAGCCTCATCTTTCTTCAGGGAGCTGCTGCTCTGCTCCTCTTCTGACTTATCATTCTTCATCTCTCCTTGTTTGCTCTGTTCTTTCTCAAATTTTTCCAGGCTTTCCAGTAGAGAATCCACTTTTTGTTTTATCTGGGCCAACTCCTTCTTAATGGTTTGAAGGTCATCTCCTTTCAACTTTCCAGACTTGGAAGAAGATCCTCGCTGTCCACTCTTAGAATTGACGCCACTTTTGCCCCTTGGTGAGGTGTGACGTTTTGAGGGAACCACAGCGCGAGCAATTGGAGGAGGAGGGGGTACACGTGCTGGGTAACCGTACATCCTGTCATAATAATCTCGTTGGAAGTCATAGTCCAAATCAAAAGAGGAGCTGAGTAGAGGGCACGGAGAAGGGTGTTCTGGAACTGACCCGTACATCTCCGCTGCAGATCGTTTCACACCTGCTTTTCCTGGGTTCACTTTTGGCTCTGCAGCCAGATCAATATCTAAAACCTGGCCAGCAACCATTCTGCCGTCCTCTCCTGCCACAGCAGCCCGGGCATTTCTCTCATTCACATACTGAACGAAGGCAAAGCCTTTATGAACAGAGCAACCCACAGTTTTGCCGTATTTTGAGAAGATTGCCTCCACATCAGATTTCTTGACCACAAGAGTATTGAGATTCCCAATGAATACACGGGAGTTCATGGAGCGAGGATCTGTCTTGTTGGAAACATTGCTGGCCGTTGTCTTTGATGGTAAGGTTCCTCACAAAGCCGAAAATGTAGCTGAAGATCCAAAAAATCTCACAGGATGGGGGGAGGGAGAAGGGATTCGATTCTGAATCTCCCACTCCCGGGTTCTACGTAGAGAAGCCAAGTGCTGCTCCAGGGCCACGACGCGGCCGCGACCGCTCAGCCTTCGTCTCTTCACCCAAAAATATATTTTAAGCACCAAGAAAATTAACTTGAAAATAAATGACAAAAACATGTCATGCAAACAGTCATCAGATAAAATACACTTTCAAAATGATAGATCAATACTTCAGATTTCTATGTCCCTAACTGCAAAGCTTCAAAGTACATGAAGCAAAAACAACTAAAGGGAGAATTGGAGAAACCTAGAGGCATAGTCACAATATTTTAAATCCCTTTCTTTATAATTGGTAAAATGCCTATACCAAAAATCAGAACATAAAGAATAAAAAAAAAAAGACTTGAATGACACTATCCCCCACCTTGACTTGACATTTACAGAACAGTATATTTATTATCCTTAGAATATACAGTCTTCAGTAACACATGTGATGTTCACTAAGACCACATCGTGAGCCATAAAAATTTTTCAAAAATTTTGAAAGACTGAAATATTTTTCAATGTCTTATTACCATGACGATAAAATGAGAAATTAATAGCAATGAAACATCTGAAAAATTGTTACCCTTCTTGCATGGTTACATATTTATATAGATACTAGCAGAAACACCAGTTACCTTGGCTGGAGGTCAGACCAATTCACGTCAAGAACAGCCAGAGTAACATTACAGTATTAGTTCCCCCATGCCCAACACCTTGCAGGTAATGCAGGTCAGATCGTGTAAACCTACTTATGTGATGGGACAACTGTACTGTCAGAGAGGACCCCTGAAAGATGAATTTGTCCACTTACATAGAATTCCTGTGCTCCTAAGAGAGAAGACAGGATCCTGGATCCTTATCCCTTGGAATGCAACTACATTTCTCTGGATGGGACACTAATAGGAACATAATGTTCAAAATCACTCCCGACACTCCTGAGATCCGGGTTATTCAGTCACCCTTTCCAGTAGCCTTGCTCCCTACTCTGGAATGTAACCCAAAGAGATAAGAGAAGATTTATTATCTTTAGGGTGGCAACAATTAGTTCTACCTTTCAGGAACAAATGACTACAGAGTGATACATAAAAATCTATTATTTCTGGGATAATTAAGAGTAAGCATCTTAAAATCAATTTTATAGGTCAGGAGGTCAAGACTTTACAGGAACATCAAAAAATTAAGGATTTGGGATCCCTGGGTGGTGCAGCGGTTTAGCACCTGCCTTTGGCCCAGGGCGCGATCCTGGAGACCCGGGATCGAATCCCATGTCAGGCTCCCGGTGCATGGAGCCTGCTTCTCCCTCTGCCTGTGTCTCTGCCTCTCTCTCTCTCTCTCTCTCTGTGTGACTATCATAAATAAATAAAAATTTTTTAAAAACTTTAAAAAATTAAGGATTTGTCTTTTCATAGCACATAAATATATCGGTGTATCAAAAAAAGAAATCATGAAGGAAATTAGAAAAATATTTTGAACTGAATGATAATGAAAATACAAAATATCAAAATCTGTCTTGTGCAGCTAATGCAGTGCATACAGGAAATTTACAGATTTAAATGCTTACATTTAAAAGAGAGCCTTCAAAGTTGATCTAAATTAAAAGGCTAGAAGAAGAAAAGTAAATTAAACTCAAATGAAAAGAAGGTAAAAATAAAGAGCAGAGAATAATAATGTAGAATACAGAAAAAGAGTACAAAAACTAACAGAACCAAAAGTTCTCTGGAAGAGGGATCCCTGGGTGGCGCAGCGGTTTGGCGCCTGCCTTTGGCCCAGAGCGCGATCCTGGAGACCCTGGATCGAATCCCACATCGGGCTCCCCATGCATGGAGCCTGCTTCTCCCTCTGGCTATGTCTCTGCCTCTCTCTCTTTCTCTCTCTGTGACTATCATAAATAAATAAAAATTAAAAAAATAAATTGGTTTGTCTTTGTATTAAAAAAAATTTATTAAAAAAAAAAGTTCTCTGGAAGAATTCTTAAATTTGATTGGTAAGGTCTTGATGCAACATACAAATTACCAATATCAGTAAAGAAGAGGGTACTCATTACAGGTCCTACTGATACCAAGAGAAGAGAAAGGGAATATTTTTTTAAAGATTTTATTTATTTATTAATGAGAGACCCAAAGAGAGAGGCAGAGACATAGGCAGAGGGAGAACAAGGCTCCCTGTGGGGAGCCCGATGTGGGATTCGATCCCAGGACCCCAGAACCATGACCTGAGCCAAAGGCAGACACTCAACCACTGAGCCACCCAGGTGCCCCGAGAAAAGGAATTTTATGAACACTATGCCAATGAATTTGATGACTTAGATAAAACATATAAATCCCTAAAGAAAATCAAAACTGACAAGATGAAATGAAATCTGGGTAGCAAAGAGTGAATTTGTAATAAAAAAATTTTCTCATGACCTCCAGTTCCAAAACAAGATTGAATAAAGGTACACATTCCCCTATTACTCCCACTAATTTCAACTAAAATTTCCAGATATTATGTAGAAAGCAAACATAAGTAGTGTCTGAAAAGTGAAGAGAAAGCAGACCATTTAGAAACCTCAGGACCTGGGATGCCTGGGTAGCTCAGCGATTGAACGTCTGCCTTTGGCTCTGGGTGTGATCCCGGAGTCCTGGGATCAAGTCCCACATCGGACTTCCTGCAGGGAGCCTGCTTCTCCCTCTGCCTGTGTCTCTGCTTCTCTCTCTATATATCTCTCATGAATAAATAAATAAAATCTTAAAAAAAAAAGCGAACCTCAGGACCCAAGAAATAACATGACAGCTCCCTAGGTTTTCTTTTTGCCTCATAAATCCAATATTGGGTGTTAGAGAAGCTGGCAATGTAGAAACACCAATGGGAGCAGACACACAAAAATTTGTGCTCTAGCCAAAAGACCAAGAAAGGATAAACCTACCAGGACAAAACAGCACAACACACACACACACACACACACACACACACACACAAATGCAGCCCTACCCTTACCCTATCAGCAAAGCCCAGGGAGGAGCCTAGATTTCTATTCTCATCTAGCGGTAATGAGGTGTCCCCCTTTCCTGCTATTGTGGTATAAGACAAAACCAGGTGGGGAGCTGGAACTTTCATTACCATCCAATAATAATGAAACTTTACCCCTTCCACAATGACATTCGAGACTACATGGAGTGTGGGCAAGAATGAGGCACCTCCCCAACAAGCAGAGGTGTTGTCAGTGAAAGCCTACTGGGGATCCCAAAATACCACCTCTACCCAACAATAATTTTTTTAAATTTATTTATGATAGTCACAGAGAGAGAGAGAGAGAGAGAGAGAGAGGCAGAGACACAGGCAGAGGGAGAAGCAGGCTCCATGCACCGGGAGCCCGACGTGGGATTCAATCCCGGGTCTCCAGGATCACGCCCCAAAGGCAGGCGCCAAACCGCTGAGCCACCCAGGGATCCCTCTACCCAACAATAATGAGGTACTCTCCCCAAATGGAGAGTCGAATGGAAAACCTGGACTTTCACACCCACTTGGCAGAAATGAGACAGTACCTATTTCCTTGAGGTGGATGGTATCAGAATAAGCCTGCTAAAACGGAAGATTAAGTAAGACCCAAGGTAACATAATACCCACAATGTCCAAGATACAATAAAAGATCAATCATACCATGCATCACTAAAACCTCAATGTGAGAGAAGACACAAGCACCAACCCTGAGATGTCAGAGTTATCTGACAAGAATTTTAAAGCAGCCATCATCAAAATGTTTCAGTGAGGAATCATAAATATTCTTGATACAAATGAAAAATAGAAAGTCTCAGCAAAGAAATAGAAGATAGAAAGAAGAAACAAATGGAAGCTATAGAACTGAAAAATATAATAACCAAAATAGAAAAAGTAATTGATGGGCTCAACAGTAGAATGGAAGGAACAGAAGAAATATTTAGTGAAGTTGAAAATCTAATAATAGAAATTACCCAATCTGGACAAGAGAAAATGAATTCAGGGTTGGGGGTGAGAGGGGAAGAACAGAGCCTCTAGGACCTGTGGGACTATGACAAAAACTCTAACATTCCCATCATTGGAGTTCAAGAAAGAGAAGAAAGAGTGTGGGGCCGAAAAAAATTTGTAAAAATATGATTGAAAATTCCCCCAAAATTTGACAAAATACATAAATCTACAGATTTAAGAAGTTGGCTGTACCCCATACAATTAAAAAAAAATCAGAGATCCAAGCTATCACCCATCATAATCAAACTTCTGAAAACTAAAGTTAAAGGACACAATTCTTGAAAACAGCAAGAGAAATGGCACCTTACCTCCAGGGGAAAACAAGTTGAATGGCAGTGAATTTGGATTTCTCATCTGAAAATAAGAGGCAAGAAGGAAGGGACACATTTCTCAATTGCTGAAAGTAAGAACCATCAATGCAGAATCCCCTATCTGGTGAAAACATTGTTCAGGAATAAAAAGGAGATCAAGATTTTTCTCAGACAAATGAAAATTCAGTGAATTAATGGTGACAGATGGTAGCTTCACTTGCAGTGAGCACAGCATAAGGTATAGAGTAGACATTGAATTGCTATGTTGTACACCTGAAACTAATGTAACATTGTGTGACAACTACAATTTTTTTTAGATTTTTATTTATTCATTCGAGAGAGAGAGAGGGGCAGAGACAGACGCAGAGGGAGTAGCAGCCTCCATGCAAAGAGCCCGACATGGGACTCAATCCCGGGTTTCCAGGATCTTGCCTTGTGCCAAAGGCAGGCGCTAAACCGCTGAGCCATTCAGGGATCCCTATACTTCAATTTTTAAAAAAATAAGTGAATGCATCGCCAGCAGACCTACCCCCAAAAGAATGCCTAAACAGAAAAGAAATGATAAAAACAAGAATTCTTGTAACATCAGAAAGAAAGATGGAAAGGGCAACAATAAATCTGTCTCCTTAGAGCTGAACTCCACGTTCCATGAGATTGAAAGTGGCTACAGCAGCCATAACTACTAACTTGTGAAGGTTCAAATCCAGTACAAATATAAAGTGTCTTTATCCCAGCACTCCAAGAAAAAGCATCATTGTACCCCACAGACTCTTGGTGGATCACAT